CTGCAACAGAATACAAAGAATAGAAGTCCTTTCATCAGCTCGCTTCTGTGTTGCGAACACCTCTGCTTTAAAACTGGCAGGATTTTAGCGTGGTGCGGCAACGTATTTTCCTTTGCGTTGGTTTTTTAAAAGAGTATAATTTCACTTTAAAGGATTTTCCTCTAAGTGCTCAGAAACTGTAACCGGTAACATGCTTATCTGACTAGCCAGCTTAAAGCTGGATTTGCCAGAAGGCTTTGAACAAGCAAATACGGCCGAAAACTTGTGTTAAAAGACAATTGTTTCTTTAACTTCTTCGAGCGGCTCAGAACCTGGTTAAAGTTCACAGGCTGGGAGACTTTCCCCCCGCCTCCTTTCCGTCCTCGGGTTCCAGCTCCCCTTGCAGCTGGCCATAAATGAGGACCAGGCTTTGCCACTCCGTGCTTTCACAAGGTATCGTTAGGTCAGCGAAGCCATCAATTAGGCTGTCTGAAGTTTTATCACCAGCGCAGCGGCAATAAGTGCCGGCCCAGAAAGACTTCTGCTCTTCTGCGGCTCCCGGGGTCGGAGCCCGCAGAGGAGGGGGTCGTCGGGAGGTCAGTGCCAGCTGGGGCCGACCTCTGCCGCTGGGACCGGGGACACCCTGCGCAAGGCCACCGCCTGCCCGAAACGCAGGCACCTTTCAACTCGTTAGAAACCCCCGGTCGCAGGTACATGTGGTTAATATTAGGCCCAAAATAGCCTTTTTTTCTTTTTTTTTTTTTTTTTTTATCTCAAACCAGGGCGGTTGCCGCGGCTTTTGAGCGCTGGTAAAGGCAGTTAGTTGGCTGCAGAGCCTGGATTTAATTTTGCTGGTAATCCAAAAATAAGTGCTTGCATATTTCTTATTAGCTTAATGCGCAGCGATCCACATCGGCACAAGCTAAGCCAAATTAATTTCCCTAAAATAATTTTGAAACTTGCCTATTCACAGTGTTTCTTTCAAAACAGGGCAATTTTCTATCACTCAGGAGCCACGCTTGTTTTTGTCCCCCCTCTTTGTGTTTGAGAACACTTGGGGAGCCTTCGCGCAGGTTTTGTGTGCTATTTCACAGCTCAGGCTTTCGGCTGGTGACCCTTAAGGAGTGCTAATGAAGTTGAATACTAGTGTTTAATCCTCTTCAGAAATACTAACATGCCCATCATCCAAACCAGCCTCCAATAATTGCCATTGGGCCCGATCCAATGCCTCGTGAAGTCTTTCAGTCAGTTAACTGAAAACTAAGTTCATCTGCTCATTTAGCAAATTGCTAGCCTTTATATAGCATCAACTCCGCAAGGCCTTTTGTCGCGCTTCCCTCCTTCCCTCCCTCCCTCTCTCCCGTCCCCCCCCCCGGCCCCGGCTAAATTCCTCTGCAGATAATAAGAGACGGTGGCACACCTTCGATTGCATCTTCCGTAATCACAGTCGTGGAAATTTCATTAGACAGATGCATAAATGCTACAAATAACACTAAAGGGCTCTTTTGCATCTCTCTGCTTACATCCAAAAGACGTTCTTTATTCTTTAGGAGAAGTATAATTCAGTTGTCAGAAATGTCATCCTGCCTCAGAATTAGTCATGACTTCAGGTATTGAAAGAAAAACTCAGACACAGTCGATGTAGTTGTTTACTCCCTTCTGACTGTGGCGCAGCAAAGGCATCTCCTACTCCTGCGCTGTGATTTCGAGGCGTGCTTCCGTCCTCAAAGACAAAGGTCCCCGATAGGACTTAATTTGCTGAGCTACTTTCCAGCAACATTACCGTGCTGACCAAATGGAGCCTGACCTGAACCTCCTCCATCCAGCACGCCTTTTATCAGCTGAAGTTAAGGCCAATAGAGATTAACAGGAAAGCCTGATAAGACTGTTTTCTCTTCTCCTATGAGCTTCTAATGGTGTATACAGATGGCAAGGTTTTAAAGAATGGAATGAACGCTTATTTAGGCCTGTAAAAAATCACAGACAACAGAAACATCCCCCCACATGCACACGCTTTCCGTCTTACTAACCCCTTTTCTTCAATCAGGCCACTCTTTGGGGAAACCAAATTGCTTTTTCGTTTCTTATTTAAAGCCCAAGCACTTTTATTATTTACATCTGGTGGTCCCCTTATTTATGTCCCTCTCCACTTCCCTGCACACACACCCCGGCTCACAGGGCTGCGAAGCATTATGGGCCTTGGCTCTCAGCGGGAGAACTCGACACTGTCTTCAAACAAATAATTAAGGGGAAGGTTAAAGGTTCACCCAGAGGTCATATCTTTGGATACTCCTCAGAAAGTTTACATTAGCAAGAAATGGGTGCCCTCTGAAGTGTTCTTTCAATGGGCTCGCACAACAAGGCAGAGCATTAAGAAAATTCTAAGTCCTCCAGGGTTTCAGGTGACAACTGCTTTACCTCTGTGAGCAGCAGATTGGGATACTCCACTCCAGTCTTATGCGTTCGACAGCCTCCACAGAGTACGCCTTTTGGGACTGGTGTGGAAAACCCAATCTTGCCCAGCCATTCACTCCCAAAAGAGCTTGGCCTTATTTCATTCCGCTGATGTGAATAAAGCCAGCCTTTCACTGTGAACTCTACATCGAGGTAATTCACTAGTTGTTTTGGAAATGAGAGTTAAAGCCCTATGAGTGAGTCCCCCAATCTTTGTTTCCTTACAGAAAAAAAAATAGTGATAATAGTGATTACATTTATCCAGTAAATCTTGCAAAAAATAGCGCTTGGCTTTGATTTCTGATTTCACTATTTCTCCATTTTTCTTTTGCACATATGCGTAACTGCAGGTGCAAATGATGTCGTCTAGACCAGCAACATTTTGTCTGAAGAGAAGATGCTCTGTCATATACTTAGAGAGATATAGGAGCACAGAGGCTTTAGGCATCCAGATCATTTCGAAATTCCATTTCTACAGCCTCTCTGAAAAATCCTGTCCATAAACAGCATCGGTTATACCCACCAGTGGGTATGTCTGAAAAATTACACATGAAATTAATTATATTTGTGAAATTGCAGGTGCAAACCAGACATACATTTCGGGCGAAACTAAAAATCAGATCCTAGTTTCATCAGCAGTAGCTACATCACATAATGCATCAGCACAATTGGTAGACAAGGGCACAGAATGCAGTGTTTGTGGATTATTATTTATTCTTTATACTGCCCCATAAATATGCACAGTGCATAATAGAGACGTAGAAACCACAGTCCCTGCCCTAGCCTTTACCTTTTTTTGAGGGCTTTTTTGAATCCCTCAGGGAGTCATCTCCAGGGCCAAAGTAAAGCAAAATATAGCCTTTTGCACAGCACTTCAGTTCGTGTGTTGCAGAAACACTGTGATGTTATTTTGGCACAAATGTCTTCAAAAGGCATTAAGAGACAGGTGAAAAAAGAGAACACCAATGCCACTATTACCAGCATTATTTGGAACCCTATAAAAGAAGAATTCACAGCTCTGTTCCTGACACTAATTGCCTGCCTTGTTCATACCCTTCACCCAGAGGCCAAAGATTGAATGGCCTGAAAAGATGAGTAAAATCTATCAACAAGACATGGATTTCTTTGTTACTCTTCTGTTAATAGTAATTCCTATTATTTGGATGATAGCAGCAGTTAGAGGACCCAATGAAGCTCAGCCTTACTCCGCCCGACGCTGCACAAGCGCACTGTCCAAGAGAACTCAGAGTCTGAACAGATTTCCAGGCAAAGCCTGAGGGAGAGGAAAGACGCCGTCTCCCTGTTTGTGAAGGGGAACGGAGACAGAAGGAGATTAAGTGACAAGGCCAAAGTCATACAAGAGATCTTTGGCAGAGCCACACACCCAACATAGATTTCCTCAGTCCTCTTTCAGCGCTCCTACAATCTGCTATCCATATGCTATCTTTCCTTTGTTCCCCCAGCTTAGCAGTCAGGCACACTGGCAGGGGACCGCAAAGAGAGCTCACGTTGCCACTGTTTGTGCCTTACCTGCTGTGTAGATAAAGAGGGGTCATCAGCCTCCAGGGCTGTGAGCCGATACCTTCACAAACTCTACATTCATATGGCACTTGGTCCTCATTCCAGCATGATAAATGAGGTGCGTAATGTTGAGAAATACATGTCATAGACATAGCGAGTTTAATGAAAATCTCACTTCCAGCATTTTGCAAATGACAGATTACCGACCTCGCTCATTCAAACAATAGTCGTTTGAATCAAAAGAAGGGTTTTTTTCCATCTTGTATTTTTCTGTAATTGCTACCCAAAGCAGCCACATATATTTCCTATAGCACAAGTAGTTCCGGTAACTTCTGTGGGACAACTTATAAAAGTGCAACGAACAAGATTTGGCTCAAAATGCACAACAACATGGACTTTCAAAAGAACACATTTCATTTTTATCTGCTTCCGGCAAAAAAACAGTAGAGCAGTAAAGGTATACTAGTGAATATGCAATCTAGTCTGGTGATTTGGTAGTCCTAGTCCTAATTGGTTCCTACCATTGCTAATTAGCATGACAATATAATCTAAATATATGCATTTAATTGCATCTCTTCAAATAGAGCCTTCGTTTTCTTTGTCCAAAATAAACATGTAGTCTGTATTTTAAAGGAAGTCCTGTAATTAATCTTCTTTATATATTTATCATATTTTATCTCAAGTCATATCAAATGACGTTAAACTCACATTTACATAATACATTTTATTTTTATAAAAAATAATGTTCAGATAAAATCACAGAGAGATATTTCTGCAAAGTGCAAAGGAGAATAAACAGCAAATAGAGATCTCTTAGTCTGCTTGCTCAAGTCTGACACATTCAAAAATAATTTTGTTGTTGTTTCCACTGTCTTTTTTATACATACTGTATGCGTATTTCAAAACACTGTGACCACTCCACAACTGAATCTGAGTAAGATTAGTTCTTGATAGGAACTGTTAGTGGCTGTACCGACTGGTAATCAGAATTAGAAACATCGCCAACTTTTCTTTGTGGCTATAATGGAAAATTTACTTTATGTACG